TATTACTTCATTTGTAATTTCTTGAAAAAGTAAGTGGAAGGTAATAAAAGTGAAATATCTGTAATTATTTTGAATTTATTGTGATTCATAATACTACTGGCTTAATCTTTCATGCTTTAATTTTCAATATGTGTTCACTGCTATCTTGCTCTTCGGTGTCTAGTGCCCACTCCCTGAATTTCTTCAACACTTCCTTATACAATGTAGAGCTGTAATCAAAGCTTTCATGGTAACTAACAGTCGTGCTGCACCCCGGGGTCATTCCCTCATTTAGATCATCTAGAGCCAAATTACCTTCCAAAGCCCGGACTACCTGCTTTGCAAAATGGAGAAAAATATTAAAATGTTGCCCGTCAAATTGAAATTTCAACAATTTTAAATTGAAAAGAGATTAGCATAATGCAGGTCGTTTCCAAAATTTTTGAAGACTTGTGTAAAACTCACATTATAGTTAATATTTTTAACAGTCAAATATTGAATTAAAAATTTTATTCATATATATCATATATATCAATTTTTATTTAAATCTAACATTTATAACCCTTTAATTAAAGAAACTTTATTTATTGATATATATTAATTTAAATGTCTTAAATTTAGTTTAATTAATAACTAGTTAGGCCTTTTAGATCAATTTAAAAATTAACATGCATAATATATATGAATAAAATTGTTAATTTAATAGTTAATTTTAAAAACATTAATTAAAATATAAATTTTTAAATAAATCTTCTAAAAAATTTAAGAAAATGACCTGCAAAAATTTATTTTTCAGTTAAAAATTGCACCTTTGTGAAACTAGCATTGATTTAACTAGCCAAAACCAATGCATCAACAGAAACTGAATCTGGATCTTGGGTAGTTATCAAAGGAAAACAAATAACAGTTCTACCTTCTGGATTCATTTGATAAAGTAAAGAGATTTGGTAATTAAACTTATTATCACATAATTAGAAGAACCTGGCTCATCTGCGGACGAAGCTTTGCTGAATGGCGCACACAGGCAGCAGCACAAGCAATCATTCGAGCCATTTCGCTGGAGTTATAATCCTTCTCCAACCTTGGATCAACAAGAGATTCAAAGTTCCCAGTTTCCAGAAATTGTGAGAGCAAAGGCCTTGCCTAAAATTCCAAAGGGCATATGTTATTCATCCCAAAACAGTAAACATAGTTGTACAAGAATTTGATTCAGGCAGACAACACTTGCATGGGGGAGGTGTTGGAGTTTGCTGCAAAAATTTAATTGACTGTATCCTCCTTGAAGCCTCCAGGCCACCCAATGCCAACAACATGCCACAATTTTATTTGGTCGTGTTTTAAGGACTAGAACGGGTAGAAGTTAATACATACCCAATCAACCACATATTCATCTTGAGTTCTATCAACAGGGTAACGTCCAGTAATCATCTCCAAAAGTACAACCCCAAAGGAGAAGACATCTGACTTTTCAGTGAGCTTTCCAGTACATGCATACTCTGGAGCTACGTAACTGTATTCATGAATTTTGTGAGAAGAAATACGTATGATAGATTCGATACTATTGAAGATAATAAAGACGATTCCGTAACAATAAACTTCTATATATGTTTATTTATTACTTTTTTTTGCAATATTTCCAACCATCTGAAGCATGGTAAAACTGGAATTATCAGGAAATACAAAATAGAAAATTTATCCTACCCAAAAGTTCCCATCACTCGAGTTGAAATATGAGAGTCAATATCTAAATAAAACTTTGCAAGTCCGAAATCCGCAACCTGGACAAAAGTTCTATACATTAATTGTATCTACAAAATAATAAACGAAACTGATATGAAAAATTAATATAGAAAACGGAAGCCACTAAATTGAACCAAAGCATGCTTAATACCTTCAAATGCAATCTAAAACACAATCACTAATTAGTTTCATGGAATTCAGGATAATAAGGTATTTAGTTGCTACATTGATTCAAACCTTTTAGATTCGATAATTTTCATTTTCCCTTCAATTACTCAAGTTTAAGGATGCCTTGACTCTATTTTCCAATCAATTATTTGGTCTAAAGAATTATTTGCATTTGATTCGTTATGCAACAAAACATAAAAATAAAAGGTTTTTAAAGAGCTAAGAAGAATTTAGAAACATAATTCAAACTTCAGTTGGCGGAATGGAAGCAAAAGAATAAATCAAGATAGTGTCTTAAGACAATAACTTCTAACTTCACAAGTTTATTTCCACCTCAGGGCGTCATAGACTAAGTATCCAAAATCAATCACAATTCACAAAAATAATATATTTAAGCGTACAACAAACAAATATCATGTAAAATACATTAATATACCTTTGCTTCAAAGCTTTCATCAAGAAGAATATTAGCTGCTTTGATATCACGATGTATGATCTTGGGGTGACCTAATGATATGTTTAACATTTAAGAGAGTAAAGACTACAAAACCGTGACCTCGGAGCTGCTGATTAGAAAGTGTGCAAGGAATACTCACAGTCTTCATGCAAATATGCCAATCCTTTTGCTGCTCCCAAAGCAATTCTCATTCGGCTTCTCCAGCTCATAACTGCTCCCCCATTTCCTGCAATGCCATTCTTCTTAGTAGACAGCATATTATGTATTGCAGTTAGAAGTTCCAAACAGTAGTCATATTCCTATGATCCAATTCTTGCACCACATGCTTTTCCCCACTATACACCTTAGACATTTTTTCTTAAAGTAAAATATATAAATTAATTATCTATTACATCATTTGTATGCAAGAAGAAATGCACAATTCACAATTTCATTCTTCTTTTAATGTTATGAGTTCTTCTCTATGGTTTAATGAAATTTTAAAATATTTCAAGTGATTATCAAGAATCATATCAGCATCTAGAACCAAAGAGACAAACCATTTTTTAGCAAGCACCCTGTAAAAGCAAGCAAGAGATGGAAATGCATTTTCCACCAATATTTGAGACAGTTTACAACATCTCATCTTTTCTCTATTTACTCACCATGCAAATGAAATTTCAGTGTGTTGTTTGGAACAAACTCATATACAAGCATTCTCCTCTCCCCAATGATGCAGTAACCGACCAGTGAAACAAGATGCCTGTGATGCACACGACTAATGATCTCAACCTCTGCACAAAATTCACGATCACCCTGTCCACTCCCAGCTTTAAGCTGTTTAACTGCTACTACTTTCCCATTTGGAAGCACTCCCTTATGGACATAACCAAAACCTCCTTGACCAATGAGGTTAGCATCAGAGAAACCCTTTGTTGCTAATGCCAATTCTTCATGAGTAAATGAACTCTTTGAAAATCCTAGGGCCATCCCAGGTGACCCTAATGATATTAGTGAGATAATATCAAGATTTGTGCAAATATCAGACTTCAACATATCAAATCATCAATAATCAAACACGACCAGGAAAGAGTTTCAACATTATCATTCATGTTTACAGGCAGCTTAACAGACACAGCTGTTAAAGTGCCTCGATCTAACTTTTAAACAGAACCCTTTTCCAGAGATGGAAAGAGATTCAAACTCTCATTACCAATCTAGAGTAAGCATCTAATTGAAATGCAACAAGATCCAAATTATAATCTTTAAAAAAACTAAGAAAACAGAGTACATAAATAAATGTATCCAAAATTGACCAAATGGGTCAAGTCAAACATATAAAATACAGGGCATCCATCCATTTTATAAGAAAGTTAAGACAATAAGTGACCAGAAATCCTGCAAGAAAAAGTGCGGAAACGTTTATGAAATTATTTAAGGGTTTGTCTATGACACAAGATAAGAAGCTATTTTTCAATATTAATTGTAGCTGTTTTTCTTTGAAAAAAATAAATTGACTAATAAAAATCTAATAGACAATGTTTACTATTAAAATAAAAGTCAATTTTATTTTTTAAAAATAAAAAATAATTATTATTATACAATAATTACTTATCGTTAAAAAACCTATTTTTGATTTATCAAATATTAATTAAATGGTTTCACATTTCACACAGGCATTCCTATTGCAGGTCAACCTGAAAATCTGCTCTCTCATAAATGAAACCCCAAAACATTTTTTATAATTTAAGTACTAATCATACCGAGTAACCGAACATTCAATTTCTCATCGGCTGGAACAATATACTCAATTATAAGAACCCAACAAATTAAAGAAACAGTAACCTTCAGGTCCTTGTGGTGGAGGTGAGGAAGGACCGCCATAGTTGTTCTGTGCAAGCTCCCGGTTCCTCCTGCACCAAACCATATAAATTCCCACGCCAATCAGCACCATCAATGCACCCAACGCTATCCCCACTACAAGTACAACAACAAGCCCTGGAGGAAGGCCTTTGGGTGGAGGCGGAAGCATATTACTTGTAGTGGCGCCATTCGTAGACGTTGCTGTTGGAGGAGCAGGAGCAGTAAGTGAACTCTGCTGCGTCGATAAAGAAGAAGAAGACTGGTTGGTAGGTGAAGTCGGAGAAGTTAAGTTTGTTACCGCCGTCGGCGAAACAGGAGAGGCAAAGTTAGAAGAAGAAGGGGGCGAGGTCGGCGAAAGAGAAGTTTCCGGAGGAGGAGGTGTCGACATAACCGGAGAGAGCTCCGGTAAAATCCTTCAAAATGATATTTCTCCTCGTCCACGTCTCCGGTGGTAAGACAGGAGGACAAGGAAGGAGCACGAAATGACTGGGTAATGATTCCTACTTTATTCTAGTCAGGTGATTGGTGGGCCCCAAATGTGTTTAACGACGTCGTAAAAGCACGGTCAATGTGTCCCACCGGTGGTCCCTAGGTCCTAACAACATCGATTCCGCGTTGCGTTTTTGAACACTAGTGAAATGGGTAGGTCGGAGTCGCTCAAAATTTTATATATATCATTTAATTTCCGTACGATATATGATAAACATAATAATTAAATAATATAAAAATAAAATACATTATAATTTTAAAATTAATTAATTTAAAATTATATAAAATTTTATATATATCATTGAACTTACGTATACGAGAGCAATGTGAAACAAACACCCTATGAATTGTCAGTGATTCTGAAATTGGATATGAAGGCAAAACTTTTAAATTTATCCCTTAAATTAGGTAGGAACATATTCATTCTTTAAAAAAAATTTAAGAATAAATTGATTTTTTAAATTATAAATCAAGTCAAATTACTTATTTTTTTAATTGATTTTGTTTGCTACAGAAATATTTTTTAAGGGAAAGTTGAGAGAATCTATAAAAAAATAGGTGATTTTTTTTTTATAATCTGAAAAGATAATTTACCCTTATATTTTTTTGAAAAGTAAATCTATTTCTACCCTTATTTGAGGGATGAATTTGGAGGTTTACCAAACATGAATACAACATTAATTATCCATAAACCTACGAACCGTCGAGTGGTAAAGGGTAACGAGAGTATGTAGAGGTTATTTAAATTTTGTTTAATTTAATAGGTTTCTTTAATTTATACTATAAGTTAAGAATATATTTATTATGTTTTTTATTATTAATTTATATAAAAATCATTAAAATAACTTTATTTTCAATACAAATACTATGTAGAATAATTTAATTAGATGGTTTATAAAATTGAAGTCAATTTTTTTTCTCTATGTAAATTAATAGTGAAAAGATACAATAATTACAATATTAATCTACATATGTAGAGTATAGGTTAGAAAATTTCTAATTTAATTAATATTTATAGGTTTTTTTAATAATTAATTATGATATTTAAAAATATTAATTTATAAACTAATTTTAGTTAATTAATAAATATCAATTATTTTATTAATTTTAATTGTTCTTAAAAGTAAAATAAAAAAATTAGTATTTTTAAATAATATTACGTAACCTTAACTAATTAATGCATTCCAATAACCACACTCCTATTAACGTGCATTTTAGTCTCAATTGAACTTTCCTTGACACATTTTTTTAAAAAAAGTATTATACATTTTGAATTATATTAAATTATATAATATTAATTATTAAATAAAGGTTAGGACTCCCCTAATATTTTTTATTTTACAGTTGGATGTAATTTAACATGTAAAATAAAATTCCTTTTGATAAAAAAACAACTTTTTCTTTTCAAAAAAATAAAAAACTTTCAAATGTGAGACTCATTTAATATTTTTTCTAATATGTGATTTGCTTAGTATCTTTCCATTAATTTTCTTAATATCAACTTATTATACCAAACATAAAAAAGATTTAGACACAAAAATTTAATTAAATTTTATTACAAAATTTGTTAATTTTATTTATAATATTTTTCAAATAAAAAACTTTTGTAATAAAATTAGTCTAACCAATTAAGTTACAAGAGTAAGATGCATTGCTAAGTATGGATTGGGGAATGAGCATTGAAGGTCAATACCTAAAAAATTAATTTTTTTAAATTCTATCACATCGGATGTAGGAATGAGCATTTAAGATCGTTGAACGATGCGAATGCATTTAGAATTAAGGAACAGAAGTGTCTTGTACGGTATGATTTGATGATTAAGAATTTAATTTTTTGTGTTAAAAAATTTAAATATAAATTTTAAAATAAAGAAAGAAAGTTTGAAAATAAGAGGATTATTTTTCTTAAATAACTTTTTTTTTTTGTATGAATCACCCAATATTCGAAAATTTACTGAACCATCGACTAACTCGGATTCGAATCGGGCAGGACCCAATAGGCGATAAAACTCTCTCTCACAAATTTTAATAGAGTTGTATTCTCATGGTTTAAAACCAAGGTCTTTGATTAACCTGAAAGAATCCTTACCAACTCATTTATTCGCTCATGGGTTTAAATAACTTATTAATTAATGTGTGTATATATGCAATAGGAATTTATTTATACATTAAGTTTTACACATTACATTTATATAAAATCTTAATTATTTATTTTTTTATTTTTAGTAATTGAAATTTATCATAATTTTTAATAAAAAAAATAATTATTTTTAATAAATATAATAAAAAAATAAATTTCGACCATTAGAAATGAAGGAATGAATACTTGAAATGTTATATAAATATGATAGGTAAAACTTAAGTATAAGGAGATTTTACCATATACAAGAAATGATCCATATACATACAAATCTCAAACACCACATTTATATAAAATTTCAATTATTTATCTATTTACTTTCAATAGTTGAAATTTATCACAACTTTTTAGATTAAAAAAATTATTTTTAATAAGTATAAATAAAT